TGCTGAGACCTCACTGAGGGTTCTCGGTAGGTGTCGGACGAGAGATGACAGGACGAAGTGTCCTGCGGTGGCATCTTTCAGGGTGGCTGGGTTTCTGTCCCCTAGCCTCACCAGCTGTGAGTATGACTGGCTGGTGAAGAGGCAAAGGGCATGGAATTTGGGGTGACGTGGAGAGAGGTGAGCGAGAACCGGGGGAGCAGGACTGCATCCATGGCCCCGAAGGACACAATGGGGCGGGGGAGGGGAGAGGCGTGCAACGGCAGCAGGAAGGCCACGGAGGCTGGGACCCATGGTGCCTCTGTGACGTCACGGTCCAGCCCGGCAAGTCCTCCCAGGGAACCCCTCTAAGCTCTCAGCCCCGGGGCGGGGGTGCAGTCTGATGGATCCAAGGAGGAGGCGTGGCACGTTTAGACCCCTCAGTACCCGTCTCATGCAGCTCTGCCCGGCTGTCACCTATGCCATGTTCCCAAGCTTCCCTGAAGAGAGCGAGTTTTTAGAGGCCACCAGCCGAGCCAGCCGACCGGAGGAGAGGCAAATTCCAGAACGGAGAGACCCGAGAGAGGGCATATGGACGTCGTGAAACCCCCACGGAGAGCAGGTGGGAGGGGGGACGTGCACCCGAGTATAGGTGGCGATGAGCCTGGACACGGGGCCTGGCTTCCGGGCCGCCCGGAGGGCCGTTCGGAGATTTATGGGGTCCCAGAGGCCGCGTGGTTTGGGCTGACTCTCCGCCGGTGCTGATCTGGCTCGGGCGCGCCTGACAGCGCTTCCTAAATCCACAGGAGCAGAGACATTTCCTGCCCGTGAAAGCCCTTTGTCCCTACAAGTAAACACACAGCCTCTGCTTCTCCTTCGGAGTGGGTGGCCTTGTGTGACTAAGTGGATTCCCCCCGCCCATCACCCCACCTGGAAGCCCCTGCGTTTGGATGTTTCCCAGGGCTCTGTCTCCCCGCATGCAGGGAGGGCACGCTGGCGCTCGGAGTGTCCCCGGGCCCTCCCCGCCTCCAACTGCGCCAGCCAAGCGACTCCCCTGGCCTTATCTGATCCCCTCTTCCCCCAAACAAAAGGATTCCCACCAGCTGTCAGCGAACCATCTACCTTCTCGCTTTTACACGAAAACTTCCAAAACACAGCAAACAATGTATTCCAAAATTCCAACAAATGTACTACACCCGGTCATTTTAATATCTCGCTAAAGTTACTAGCACCCCCCGCCGTGACGGGTGAGGGTGTCGCTCAGTTTGGTTTTTGCTTTTACGCAGGGGTGGTCGGCATGGCCTGGGGCTTCCAGCCCTCATCGCGGGGGGGTCCTTTCCACGTGTGGTCAGTTGAGCCTCGAAATCATAAGCTTATCTGAGAGAAACAAACGCTCGCTTCCAGCTGTCCCTCCTCTTGAAAGCCAAATATTGATAAACACCTTGGACACTCAAGTCTACCCCAAGGCACCCCGACCTGCTTTGCTGAGGGGATAAATCTGGGCAGTGTTGGCCCAGTTGGGTTGTTTCTCTAGAGGACCCCCCTCCCGTCCCCCATCCCCCAGCCATAACCAAGAGCAGCGGGAAACTACAGCCCTCTGGAGTACAGAGGGCCATTGCTGTCATTTCTCACGGTCACTGGGGACAGAGAAAGGCACAGAAGGGCACCGACGAGAATACCTCGTTTTCAGTTAGGCTTCTAAAGCTAACCAGACGAGACAGAGAGACGGCCGCCTCCCCAACTCACACCTGACCACATTCCTATCAACGAGGGGAATGACAGGTAACGTGTAGTTACCTGCCGGGCAGGCGTTCATGGGCAAGGAGGCGACTAAGGTCATGGCTGCTCATTAGCGAACCCTGAAGATGTTGTCAACACGGCTGCTGCTCAGAGCCGACTCCTCCTCCAGGCAGAAACACAGAGCAGCCCCTCCCCCCGGTTCTCACCCACGACCCCCCCGTCAGTCCCTGCCTAGAGCCGGGGCTGCAGCCCTGTCAGCCCCACGTCCTCACCAGGGTGGCCAGGCAGAGGCCCGTCACCCTCCTCCCCGGTACTTGAGTTTGCTACGAAAACCCCTCTCGATGACTTATGGGCTTCCTTCTGCCAGCCTGAAGCAGCAGTGCCATGCCATGTAGTGTCCTTTCTGCCTTGGCTGGCAACACACTGACGGTACCTTGATCTTTTTCAGTATATGACAAGCTCTCTTTTTTATTATCTATCTCTTGTCATTCGGATCTTCGTTTTAATGGCCCTGTCGCATAGGTATGTTATCATATAAGTGATCCCAGATCATTTTAGGTAGAGAATAGAAATTGTTTTAAAAATACTAGTTTCCTAATCTATAGAGAACTGTCTAAATAACACCGACCTCGCAGGGCTGATTCAATAGCATAAGTGCACAGCATCTAACACAGTAGGTGCTCAATAAATGAGATCTGATTTGACTTAAACGGCATTAGTGCATTATTCACACCCTAAGCAGCATTACTGACAGCATTCTTGTTATTACCATAACAAGAACTTTTCATTTAATTGATCATTTGGAACCGATGTGATTATAAACTGGATTGGAGCCCGTTTATAGAGTACCGAATCAATTATTTTTGAACTGTAATATTTAAAATAAAACCACACGAACAAAGAGACACCAGAAAGAGGAAGAAAAATATAGTTCCAGGACTCAGATGAGTTAATTGCTGAAAATGAACCTGCAGCCCAGCTTTGTGTTTTCTGACAACCGAGGCGGAAGGAACATCATGCACCTTCTGCGGCTCTCGGTGTCCAACACGTGGGCGTAAAGGTGGCTGCTCGCACTGACCCCGTGGGAGGGACCTCGGGTGAATAACGGGAGGGCACAGCTACGCATGCCCACGTGCCATGGCACACGCCCCATCCTTCAGAAGAGAGGGGTCACTCTATCAGTATTAAGTGTTGAGGGTGAACCCCGTGGGGACTCTCTAGGGGTATGTAGAGAGTCACTCTTTATTTTCTCGGGGAGCATGGGTCAGCGGTCCACCCGGCATACCAGCCCGTCTGTCTTTGTGCGTGTGTATTTAAGGGACGTGGTGTTAAAATGCTCCACTCCCTCCCAGAATACGGAACAGCTTCCAAATGTTTGTGCCTGTGAAGCGGCCTGGCCGGTGGGCCTATACCTTCTCAAGCCTCACCTGTTGCTCTGAGCCCAGATGACCAGTGGGGGTCTGAGGATGGAGAGAACGTGGCTTTAGCTTTGGGAGATCTGCTTTCCAATGCTTGAGAATAATCAGAGATAACAGATTTTCCTGGGAAAACTGTAACCACCCAACTAGGGGCAGGGCCAAACGCTAGCGAGATTTATTGGTTTGGGTTAGCAATAAGGTGTTTGTTTTTGTAGGTAATTAGAGTTCAAGAGCAAGCTATAAAGAGTCCTCCAAGAAATTCTAACCAGACTGTAGCTACAGGCTACTGTGGTCTGACTGAATCTAACCATTCATCTTTGCAGACCTCCTGGGCTAAGACGCCAGTGTCTGACCCAGCACGATGGCACTGGCCTTCAGGGAGAAAATGGCCCTCTGTCGCAGGTATGTAAACGGCACTCTGGCACATGCCCCAGCACTGCCTGCTGCCCTGGGACTCTGCAACTCGCACATCTATCTGAAGGGCCACATCCAGATGCATCCTGGGAAATTCTGTGACAGCTCTGAGTTCTCATGGCCATCACGTCCTTGGTTCCCAGGAGCTGTGATGCACTGAGTGAGACGCTTGCCATAGCCGTACCGATTTACGCTTTTCTTACAGCAGCCGTTCTTGGGAACGGGGTTTTGTTTAGTTTTCATTTCTAACAAATCAGAGAGATGAGTACGACTTTGATTACGATTGATGCTTAAAATCACTTTCTAATAGGCAAAACAGTATGGGCAAAGTGCTGTCACCAATTTTGTAAAAATATTTAAAGACAATGGCTGATCCTGCTTCTCTTGGCCAATAATTTGTATTTCCTCCTTAATCCCAGGAAATAAGCGTAAGATCATTTCCGCTCACTGTCATCACATCATTGACAGAGAAGTCAATTACCAAAGTGCCTACAGGAGTGGAAAAAATTAAAACGGGACCAGATAAATACAATAAGCAAACAACAAATAAGTAAAGCCACAGATATGGCTAATACTAGAGGAAAAATATGCATATTCTTTTTTAACCAAGAACTAAACTTCTATTTAATTTTGTTCTGTTCAAGCCAGTATAAATTTTCCCATTGTTTTGCACGCTCTGGCCTCCTAAATTTCTTTATTTTTTAAGTTTTTAAGCAGTCATATCCCAATTTTTCCTTCAGGGAAAAAACACGAAACGGACACCGAGTCTGGGAGAAAGATCAAACCTTCGGACCGCAGTTTCAGAGTCGGCCCTGGCTTTCTGCCACCTGAGACCTCCTGCAAGTGACCTCAACCTTGGCTTGGGTCAGCCGGCTCAGCCCCTCTGACCTTCTGCATTTGCATCTGGAAAACTATGAGGCTGCCTCGGAGTCTCTCTACTACACATCTGGGCTCTGAGTTCTGTGCTTATTTACTGCTGGAGGGAGGCTGCCACGTGCAAAAGCGATAGCGACAATTGTTTCCAACAAAGACCCTGACATTCTACCTTCGGACATTCGCACGTGGTCTGCAACTGGCTGAGAAGGAACTAGGAGTCCAACGGTACGAAGATGAACCCCATTATCCGAGCAATATATTTACAGTGAATCAAAGATCATGCTGATCCAGGAAAGGAAACGGAACCGCGAAAGACACTGAGAAAAACCGCGTCCCGTTACAGCGCGTGCTTCAAGAATAGACGCGAACGCCCGACTGACATTTAACTCTCGGGGTCTGTCTGCCGAGCAGTCTCTCAGGTTCCCAAAGAGCTGGGGCCCAGGCTTGCTGGCCTAGGTCCCCGCCACGGAAGGAGCAGAGGCCCAGAGCAGAGCTATTTTAGAACCTAGAGGATTCAAGTGCAAAAACGTGTATCCAGAGAGAGCTGAAACGGGCAGAACACGGTCTGATACGTACTTGTGGCCTAGCTCGTGGGCGATGGTGAAGGCCAAGTTGAGACCGTTGTCTTCGGCAAGTACGCATTTCCTCTTCGCGCTGCACACGCCGCCCAAGTAAGCAATTCCTGCAGCGGAGACACAAAACACATCCTCATCAGAGCGTGGGAGGCCCCGACCTCGCCCGGAAGGCCTTGACCTTGCTTGGAAGGCCCGACCTTGCATGGAAGGCCCCGACCACACATGGAAGACCTTGACCTTGCCCGAAAGGCCCTGACCTCTCCTGGAAGGCCTTGACCTCGCCCGAAAGGCTCTGACCTCGCCCGGAAGGCCTTGACCTCGCCCGAAAGGCTCCGACCTCGCCTGGAAGGCCTTGACCTCTCCCAGAAGGCCCTGACCTCGCTTGGAAGGCCTTGACTTCGCCCGGAAGGCCTTGACCTTGCATGGAAGGCCCCAACCACACATGGAAGGCCTTGACCTTGCCCGAAAGGCCCTGACCTCTCCTGGAAGGCCTTGACCTCGCCCGAAAGGCTCCGACCTCGCCTGGAAGGCCTTGACCTTGCCCGGAAGGCCGTGACCTCTCCTGGAAGGCCCCGACCTCACCCGGAAAGCCTTGACCTCGCCTGGAAGGCTCCGACCTCGCCGGGCAGGCCTTGACCTTGCCCGGAAGGCCCTGACCTTGCTTGGAAGGCTCTGACCTCGCCTGGAAGGTCTGCATGGTCAACGTCAAGGGGGTACACTGGGATGATGACAAGCCCGAGGCTGGACCTGTCATTCCAGAGCTCAGAGGCAGACTGGCCTGCATGTGAGGCTTTCGTATGCGCCTAATGATGATGATGATCAGAACCACCTAAAACATCTATCCAGCGTTTAATATGCGTCAGGCGATAGGCTGAGCGGTTTACATGTGTCACCTTAGTCCTCATTATCCAGGGTGGTGGTAACAGAGGGAAACTGAGGTTCAGAGAAAAAAGGTGGTGTGCCCCGAATCACCAGAATTGGCACCCAGCGCTGGGATGCTGTCCAGCTTTGCCATTTGGGGCTGGGACCAGGCGAGGCCAGTGAGGCAAGCTGCTCGGTGTGCCAAGTTCAAGGAGGGTCTCCCTCTCAGGAGCTGGCCCTGCATGTCCATGTCCCTAAGGGGTGGGAGCACCTCCTTAAATTCTGTACCCTGGGCACCCCCTTCCGGTCACCCCAGCCTTGGCCTGTGAGGGTCGTTGTTCTCAGGGTGTGTGGGCCTGGACCAGGTTGGAGCTGATGGACAGCGGGCCAGGGAAGGCTGTGAGAAATGTTCCAAACACTTTCAGGAGAGAGAGGATGAAAGCGGGGTGCAGAGGGAGAGGCCGCGGACGCACAAGAGTCTGGAGGCCACCAGCGCGGACGAGCCCACGCACCCCGCACAGCCTTGACCGGGCCTGGGGCAGGCTGCAAGCCTCTGGAGGACACGTGGGGGTTTCCAGGGGGGAAAGGCCAATCTGGCAAAGGGATGTGTGTCAACAACATGGGGGCCTTGGACGGACGGGGCGAGGCTGGGGAATGCTGGCCGCTCAGCCCTGCATGGGCCACGTCGCCAGCTGATGCTCGGGGCTAACACTGCCCATGGCAGCTCTCCGTGCTTCCTCTGAGCTTCCACGATCTCTGCATCCAGGACGGCCAGGGCTTATCCCAACAAAAGCGGGAGTCCACAGACCCCCACCCCAGGGTTTGGGGTAGAACTCGAGTGAGGACTGGAAACATCTGTGCCCCACTGTTGGTGGCATCTGACTCCTCGGTGTGGTGCGTGAAATAAACGAGCAGGTGGTGGCATGCGATGGCTGGCGTGTCACACACCTGAGGAGACTCAGTGAGCCTCTTGCTATGAGGTCACAAGGGGTGTGTCACCGGAGGTGGCTCTGCTGGGCTGTGGTCAGGTGCACATTGGCCAGGCCTCTCCCGGCTGCACCCTGTCTGCCAGGCCAGCCCTGTGCCCTGGGGTGGGGGTGGGGGGCTGCGGCCACTGCTCACGGGGAGCCCACCCACCACGCTGCACGCCGCCCTGCCCGAGCTCCCCTGCGCTCACATGCACAGGCGTCTTAGGGCCCAGAGGCGACCTCGCAGGCTCAAGGAGTTGTGGAGGGAGGAGTTGGCAGAGGGCAGAGCAAGACAGGATGGGGGACTTAGGTCATTACGAATGAATCCGGAGCATTTGAGGTCTTGCTTCCTGACACTGTCCTCGGCTTGGCTCAAATAAACTCTTAAAAAAATTCAAAAAAAAAGCAACAACTAAAAAGAACCTCCCTTCCTGCTCCCGAAGAGCTAAACCAACATCCAGTTTGTTGACATCAAATTTAAAGCCAGGTGGACCTCAGTCCCACACAGGGCACCCCTTCCTATCCGGTCCCCTCCCAAGGACACAAATGGAGCTCGCCAGCCCCTCAATGTGCATCAGGGGTGTGGCTAGGGGGCTCTGCTCACGCCCGGCACGCCCAGCTGGGCACCACACCTCGTCGATTTGTAATTTAGAAACATGCAACATGCTTGGCCAAGGTTGAAGAATTTTTCTTAAGGGGAAAAAAAAGAAAAAAGAAAAAGGAAAAAATGTGATTTGGCCTCAAGACACATTTTTTTTGCACGTGGACAGCATACTCGGGCCATGCGGACGACTGGAAGAAGTTGACAAGCAGAAAGGACGGGATCCGGCTTCTTGGTGCCTTCAAGGTCATCGTTCTGGTTTTGTTTAAAAATGCTTTGTGGGTTGCTGCCGTCGGTGGAATGCTCCTGCACAGCCCTGCTGGAATGCGTGTGCGGTGCACACGCGCGTGCACACGCACGCACGCACATACACCCAGCAACATCCTCCCAGCCCCGGCCAGACCTCCCGCGTCAATAAATCAATTAGAAACAATCCAATGTGCACGCCCGGGAGAAGTCGTCTGCTGAGGGGGAGAAGAGACATCTGAGGCCAGCTGCGCCGAGCTTGCTGTCCCTAGAGTGTCTGCTGACCCAGCAGGCTTTAAATGCCACACAAACATGACCCCGGCCTCAGCCACACTCAGCGCCCGGAGCGGGCAGTCCCAAGTCTCCACTCTAATTAGTTAATGGGCAATTCTGGGGAAACAGCTAAGCCAAGAGCCTTTCAATAATTGCATTTTAATATTTCCAAGGCATAGATGCATTTTTTTTTTTTAAACTAGAAACAATGGCTCAGTTTGTTTACAAAAAAGTGCTCTCACACCAAGGTGGATTAAGGTCTGGTGCTTTTTTAACAATTTATGCCGGTTGCGAACGACCCAGCCATAAAACCGAGCAAAGCAAAGTCCGGAAAAGGAAAAAGAATAAAAAATAAAAATAAAAATAAAAAAAGGGCCCCCGACCCTGGAGCACAGGAGCCGAGTGCGTTTATCACACGTGTGGAAACGCTTAGAACTCGCAGAACAAAGTCTGGAGAAAATCCCGGGTTATCGTAAAAGCGAGAGCTGCAGGGAATAAACGGTCATTAAGCCACCAGCTTCCGCAGGAAACAGAGGCCACCGCTATTGCACGTTTGCTGGTTGAGAACGCACTGGGCACCGGGAGAGAGACCCGTCCACCACCTCCGGCCACGAAGGCGCCAGCTGCAAACACCCACCTGGTCCCCAATCGGCATTTGTCAAGATGTGAGGGCAAATCAGTTTTCTCTACCCTGATTTCTGTTCTTAAAAGGTGAAGACGGCAAGCATAAGATCCCCGAACGCGGGCGCCGAGGCTGTGGGGCCGGCGGGTTCCCCCAGGGCAAGGTGCGCTTAGACCCGACAGCGCTGCTTTCCACGGCTCCTGCCTTCCACGACTTAACGTGCAGGAAGAAATCGCAGTAGGATTTAGTTTTAAGTTTTTAAAAACGTCGTTCCGCGTGTCTGCAGAGCCCCCTGGAACAAAAGGGAAGCGGGGAGGCCAGTGGGGGCGTTGATGAGGGTCCTCTCCGAGGACCAGCGCCCTCGCGTGCTTGGCCCTCCCTGGTTTGACAGGTGCGGGGACGGAGGCTCAGTGAGCAGCAGCGTGGCTCATCGAGGCTCTCTGCCTCCCACACTCACACGCTTTCAGGCAAAGCCTGGGCCTCCGGCACCAAGGCTTTGAGCACCAGCGACAACGAAGCATCTTTGAGGATTTAGGAGATTTTCATAAATCTTAACGTGAGCTTATACAGAGATGTGGGTGGGACAGAGTAAAGGTTCCACGTGTTGAAGTCCAAGTGTTTTTAATCCTTAAGATAAAAGGACTCGGGGGATAGACACGGCCACGCGAAACGCAGCTGCCTCTAAGACGTGCTGAAGTCATGACAGGTCTCTAATTTTCTCTTCTTCCTTCTTTTGGCTTGAACCGAATGCAGTAAATATGCACTTGCTATGAAAATTAGAGTTATTGGTTATATTTCATTTATCCAAGGTGACATGTAGCAGATGCAGAGGTGGGAAACCAAAAAAAGAAAAAAAAATGCCAGATTTTGATATCGATGTGAAGGAAATTCATAGTTAGCACATAATTGAGTATGTGCTTGTACCTTAACTCTACGTCCGCTACAGCGCCGGCACAGATTAGGGAAGCAAAACACGCTTTGAAAACCTGAAATGCTGAGGGTAGAGATGAAGGGCTGGAAAGTTTTTCCGATGCCCGGAGAAAATATTTAATTCATCCAGAAAAGCAGATCACGTCCAGCAGAGCCTTCTGACCTGTCTTCCCAGTCTCATCAACTCTCTTTTGTTCTCAGGAGGAGCATAATTTCGGAGAGGAAATTGGGCAAGGAAGTTTAATTATTTTCTTTTTCAGTAGAAAATGGCACGGTGTGAGCCCATACCCCTTAAGCGCACAGTTGACCACGGGATCCTTTCCAGATTTACGAAGTGAACAGCGCAGCACAGTGTAAACTCTGGTTTACCCGGCACGTTAGCACGTGCAAACAGCTTGCAGCCATTGCTCACGTCTCAGACCTGCCCGGGCTCTGCCTCTCGGAGGAAAGCTGCTCAAGGTACCAGCAGCGCCACGGTTGTCACGGCGACACCACGCTGTCAATCATGAGAGAGCAACGTGGGTCTGCTCGCTCGGCCACCACGGTGGTTGAGACTGCGTCACACGTCGAGCCTTGATGGCCAGTGCTGTGATCTTGCAAGCTCTA